GCAAGAAGAAACCAACAACTATCTTCCTGGACATATAAAAAGCAAAGAAGGGAAGGTCTCTGAGGGGGAAGGTCTCTCAGCTTACTCTAGGTCTTAAATGCTAAACATTTGTACCAGGAAGAATTTGAGAATCTCCCACCCCAGCACGCACAGGAGTGCCTGGTCTACAGACTGCTCCAGAGGCCCAGTGACCTTTCACCCACCGCATCCCACTCCTCCAGAGACCTGCAGACCCCTGATGCTGTGCCCATGTTCCAGGTCCCCTAGTTCCTGAAAGCCTTCCCTGTGCCTTCTGGCTCATCTGGCCCCCGTGGTAAACTTCACATCCTCATGGGCCCTGCCACCAAGCCCTCCCTTGCCTTGCTGCCACGTGAGGATCTTCCCATTCACCCCATAACCTCTCACACAGGGCTGCTTTCTTCCCCACTCCTCAGGCCTGGGGCAATTCTCTTGCTCATCCCTCATTGCAACTTCCAAAGTATTCTCTCTCTCTCTCTCTCACATGTCACCGCAGGTCATCCTTGATATGGCCCTCATTTCGTAAAGAAGAAATGCCTCGCCTTCATGAACTGTCACCTACATGAATGCGATTTTTAAAAAATCTGAGCAATTTCAATGTGGATGATTCTCGCAGCCCTCCAGTCTCTTGGTTCCCCCAAATCCTCTCCTCCATATCCCGCACCCACCTGAGGCACTCAGTCGCTGGTCCAGAGATGGACCGTGGCTAGTGCACGTAAACTCCCATCCTTTGACTTCCAACCACCCCACCTTCGGAGAACCACTTCTCTACTTTCCAGCCTCAGTACATCCAGGGACTATTTGACACACAATCTAGGGATCCTGCCATCCTTTTCCCCTAACTCTCATAACAGACATGTTTTGCTTCTCTCCCCACCCAATTTCAATGCCCGAGTCGATCATTCAAATCACTCTCCTACCCAGCTCCCCTGGTTGCAATACTGTTATGCCAAAATCTCAACTCAGTTAAATCCAATACTCGACAGACAATGATGTCTGTGCTCTTGTCGTTGAACGTGGTCAGAGAGAAAGACACAGCTCTAGGCTCTGGTCTCATGTTCATGTGCAGGCAACCTAGTGGGCCTTCAATGCTTCCTGCGTGTTCCATTCAATTTCCCTAGTCCAACTGCTCTCTTGACCCACAAACATCAACCAGCAATCCTCCAGGCTCTCCTCAAAACGTGGAACCTCCTCTAGATCCTCAGCTCCAGAGATCTAATAAGCAGCAGCCAGAAGAGGCCATCCACAAACTCTTGCTACTACATCCATAGTTTACCTCACACACCCTTGCCTTCCCTTCTGTTACTAGAGATGGACTGACTGGGCGTTTCTAGGTTTGATCCTAGCCCCTTTGCCAATAACTAACTCATAAGGTTCTCTGTCTCAAAGAAGGCTCATCAACAAGTTCATCAAAGAAAATGTTCTCCAAGAATCTACTGTAGCCTTGTGATACCTTCTCAGTAAGAGTGCCTGAGAAGGAAGGCTACCTCGGCCAGTGGTTCTCAGAAAATTTTAAATGAAAAAAGGAAAGCTTTTCTGGCCCCCTGAAAGTAACAGAACCATCGCTGTGGTGCCAGTGAATTTTTCTGTAAAGTCAAATTTCTGAGCTAGTGACTTTAGGTGGATATTTGGAGGAACAGGGGCTGGCTGTGTCCACCCTGGTCCTGGGCAGCGCATGGGCTCTGTTCGGTGGTGCTCAGGGGGTGCTGACTGGAGGAGGCCTACGGGTGAGCAAATGGAATGGTGGCTGGGCCAGTGTTCTTTGTGATCCTTAAGCTGCTTGGGCCCATACATGGCACACGGGATGACATTCAAAAGACAGGAGGACACAGAGGCCCGAGTACTTTTGGCATCTGGGACGTGCCCTCGCCTGACAAACTTGTATTGAATCAATTAGCATTTACACGTCCAGGAAGGTTTCTTATTTACATGGTGGATAAAGCAGCACAAAAATCAATGGTAGCTAATCCGCTTGGTCTGGGTTATGAAGAGCAACATTTGAGTCAATCAACTCATTAACTCTTACCTGTGGCCTGCTGGGGAGATTAGCTGTAAGAGAAAACAAAAGAAATGAATTGAAGGGGTGCTCTTTGCCTTGCTGGATCTATGCTCCCAGGGGCACCCGTGTGGGGAATGGACCCTTCCACTCAGAGCAGGATCACAGTCTTTCCAGTTGCTCAATGGAAGCTTAATATGAAACTGTTCTTTTTTTGGGGGGGGTCGGAGTGGAGGGGGAGGGGGAATAGAAGAGAGCTCAGGGCATGGAGACTAATTCTTTAACACAGGCTACATTTTTGTAGTGAGTTTCTTATATCCCATCTGGTTTATGATGCAGAATTTCTACCAAAATATGTAAAACATATGTTGGCTCTTTCAAATAAGTGCACACTAATGCATTCAGTGAGCACTTAGTTTTGCAAACTACATTAAAATGTCACATTTGAATTTTCCCATGTATAATTTGCCGATGTTATGTAGATTTTGCTAAATAGTGCACATTCTCACCACCACGGTGCCAACAGAAAAATGAAGGGGTATGAAGTCTTCGGTTTCTGTCTTCCTTGTCCCACCGGCTGGGAAGACGGCATTGACATCAAGGAAACTCGTGGCTGTTGAGTCCCTCTGACGTACAGAGACCCTGCTGTGCATCGAACAGAACTGTCCTCACAGGCCTTTGGGGCAAGGAAATGGCCAGGCTTGTCTTCCAAGTAGCCTCTGGCTAGACTAAAACCACCCATCTTTTGAATAGCAGAGGAGTCGGTTCACTTTCATAGCATCGAGGGGGTCACCTTCCGTCCAGGAAGGGGCTAGTCTAATCTTAGCTGCCTTTTGGACACACAGCTAATAACAGTGTCTGGAAAGGGCCAAGCAAAGAGGTTAAATAAATCAGAATACGGTACCTAATTTGACTTGGCACCCGTGTGGCCAATTCCACGCTGGTCCCAGTGCCCAGCGACACAGAGGTTCCTGATGAACCTCTCTAAGCAGCTGCCACCATATCCCTCCTGTAAGACGCCATCATTCCACTTCCCCTTTCACTGCTCAATGTAGAGGAAAATAAAGCATTCTGCCTTCAATCATGGCAACGTCTAAGTCAAAGATGACGAGTCCCTGACCATGCAGGGTGTTGCAACCCTTCTGTGTCCCATTTTTCTACTCGGAGGGAGATAAAGACGCCAGTGATCACTCTGTGGTTGCCTGAGGCTTTGTGAGAAAGGTGAAATGTGACATGTGACCTTCTAGAGGGAAAGTGTGCCCCCAAACTAGGCCAAAACAGGTATAGTTCTACCAGGTGTGCAAGGTGACTGTGTTGAATCACCTTTCTCATCCAGTAAACAGTTACCATCTAGGAAACCCACGGGGGCAATTCCACTCTGTCCTAGAGGGTCGCTGGGAGTCAGAATGGATTCAATGGCAGGGAGCTTGCTTTTTTATACCATGGGCTTAAGGAACTGCTCTGTGGGAAAAACGATGTGGTGTGGTAGTCAGCTTCCCTAAATGTGTGTAGCCATGGGAACCCTATGGGAGGCAGTTCTAGTCTGTCTTGTATGGTCATGATGAGTCAGAACTGACTTAACAGAATGGGTCGGGTTGGTTTTGTAACAAATATAGAAAACAGCGAAATCTTAGACAGAAGCTTAATCCCTTTTGCTCTCAAGCAAACGTTTTTTTTTTTTATCAAGTGGAAAGCAATGGGTACTCTGGTGAACAACTCATATAAATACATTTTTTAAAGGAACTGAGGAAGTAGAGAGCCTTAAACTTCATGATCTCAATGCTTACTATACCCAAAGCCACTGTAATCTCCAGAGCCTGGTAATGCTGACACCGAAACCAGTGGGGCCGAACTGAGAATCCAGAAATAAGTCTATCCACCAAGGAAGAGCTGATCTTTGTCAAAGGGCCAAAATACATGACTGGGAAAGAGACAGGCAAAACTGGATATAAATGTGCAGAAAAGTGAAATAGGAACCAGCTATCTCACACCATACACAAAAACAAATTCAAGAAGGGTCAAAGATCTAAGTGCGAAACCTAAAAGTAGGAAGACCGTCAAAGGAAAATAGGGACAGACGTAGAGGGGGGCCTGTACGGGGCATAAGCACACGGTCCAACGTAATTCAAGACAGACAAGTTGTAGGAGACAAACATCCAGGCACTGATGTGTCTCAAAAGCTTCCATCAAAAGCGTGAAATAGGAGCCCACTTTTGGCATCGGAGAGGGTCTCTCTCCTATCACGCTCCTTCCCAATGTGCTTTGGGTTTGGGGAATGACACACTGGGCTAATCTCTAACATGTGCGAAAACCGTGACACCTCAACAGCAAGCAGACAAATAAACCAATGAGCAAAATGGGCAGGACCATAAAGAAGCACCTTAGCAAAGAAGACCTTCTTCTGCCGGGGAACCAACCCGAACGAAATGCTGGTGGTGATCAGCCATTTAAGAGCTGAAAATTACTAAGACAACAATGAACGTCACCTTGTCCCAGCATTCAGAGCAACGGTCAAAAGGCCAGAAAGAGGGAAAGGGGGAAATTATTGTTGTGTAGTTGGTTTGGGATGTTGGATGACTGTTTGAATTCAAATTAATTAAATTCAAAATTAATTTTAATTCTGATTAAAAGCCGATTCACAGTGAAAAAAGCTTGTGTGTCCAAAATCATTTAGTCTTTGAGGAAGACAAAACACAAGTCTCCCACCCTCAGTGGGCATGGTGGAAAGCATGCTGGGTGGCAGAGCACAATGAAATTCTCTGCACTGACACCTCGTCAGGAGGACACAGCAACACTGCTGCCCTGAAACGTTGAGAGATCTTTTAAAGCCCCAAATTCAAGGACGCAGCCTGGTCCAACAGGGATATTAATTCAAGATGGAGGCATTCTGAAATGTGACGGGTAACAAAAAGAGATGCTGTTAAAAAAATTTAAAGAGTCATGTTTACGTAGGCAATTCATGCCATTAGGATTTGTGAATCCAGTTTCATTTTAATTTCAAGATTGCCAGGAGTGGCAATTCACTTGTGGCCCTGCTAATTTTTAATCCACAATGGATCAAAAGTCAAGATGAACATGCAGATCCATTCACTGTAGGCTGGTGACAAGCAACTGTAAAGTTCTCATTAGTTACAGGGGCTCCAGGGATTGGCCAGGTATTGGGAGGGTGCCAATCCTATTTGCTCAGATAAACCCTCCAAAGGTGGTCAGCAAGCTTCGTGAATACAAGAGGCTTATTAAACGATCTGCAAGCTGGGCGACTTAAAAAGGGCAGCAAAACAAATGAGTCCCAAAGAATGCTCTGGGTATAATCGAGGAACATTTCAATAACGAAGCCAGCCCAATGAGAAAACACATTCATTCATTCATTCCATGTGGGGCTATGTCTGACTCACCAGCTGTATGTCAGGTGCTTAATTCTATTCTGCACCAATTTAAAACGATTTCATCTGTTTAGGGAGCACTTGATAAGGTGCCAATTTTGTAAATTAAGCACTGTATTTTCATGGAAGCACAATTTGGGATATAACAAATCAAAATTTGGGATATAAATACTACGTTGGGCAACTGAATCCCAAACTAATAAACAGAGCTTTAGAAAACAAAAATAACCTCTAAATCCCAAAGGATTTTAAAATATTATTCGTCATTCCTTACAGAGAACGTACTTGAGCTCTCTAAAACACATGGCTAATAAAGATCATTCCCAGAAAGAAACCTACAAATACTACACACATATCTGTGAAGCTGAGTATGTCAGAGTATGAGAACTCGGCCAGGTTCTCCTGGAGATGTCTCCAGGTTCCATACCCCACCCTCACCACTGGGACCACCACAGAAGACGGGGTACCAATGCAAGGGGGAGGGAAACTCTGCAAAGTGAGTCCCATATAAAATATATGTTCTTTTCTATATTAATAGATAAGAAGATTTCCTACCAACAGAAATTTTCTCCTTCCCTTCAGAGTCTATAGCTGAGATGAACATCGGTCTTTTTATATTCCTTTTGTCCTATGACTGTAATTATTTAAGTTTTAAACTATATTATTTTAAAATATGGTATAGATTGGTCTTTTACACTATCTAGCTACCAGGATATGCCTTCATAAAGATTTAAAAGTAATTGCTTTAGAAAACTGACCTTGAAAAACAATTCATCATGAATTTCTGGTTTAGAAATTTTTCAATTGAAATTCTACATTTGATATCCACTACAAGGTATCCATTTCAACCTATTTCCATGGTAGCACATATTGCTGATTTTCAAGTTCAAGATGTATCCACTCTGATATTTAATTAAAGACTTTCAAACAAACCTCGACTAACAGATTTTGTTCGTAACAAATTATTCATGCATTTTGATGTAAACTGAACTAAAAAGTAATTTCATTTTGAAGATCTGGCTTATAAAGGATATGAAAATTGGCCCTTAAACATACAACTCAGAATGACAATCTCTTTAAAAAAAATCAACCTTGAAATATAGTCAGTATGAGAGTCAATCTGTTCATCTGCTATGACAAAGATTACAAAGCCTAGAAAGTACTCTGACTGCCTGTGGCCTTTTACTGAGTTTTTACAGCTTTTCTGAGGCTCGTCAGGACCCAGAAATTGTGCTTTGAAGTAAGTGTGTATACAGGTGCACGAAGTAAGTATGTATACAGGTGCACGAAGTAAGCATGTATACAGGTGCATGAAGTAAGTACGTATACAGGTGCACGAAGTAAGTGTGTGTACAGGTGCATGAAGCAAGAATGTATACAAGTGCATGTAAGAATGTATACAGGTGAATGAAGTAAGTATGTGTACAGGTGCATGAAGTATGTATGTATACAGGTGCACATTCCTTTGTGGGGGGTGAGGATGGAGCTGGCCAAAGCGAAACAATGATTCAGAGAACTTTGAGAAGCAGCCTATTTCATTTACAAGTGACAATAAAAACGGATGCACTCATAAATATAAATACATATGTTTATGTGCTTCTGGAAACTCCCTTAGAATTTATAAGCAATGTTCTCAAAAATCCAGAGACAATTACATTTTATTATTTTTTATAATTACATTTAAAATAGTTATTTCATTTCCTGTTAATGATGGCGTTTTATAAACATTAGAGTAATATTAAATAAAGGATATATTTCATGAAGACAATATGCTTTCACCTGTCTACAGTCAGGAAAATATGTCCATTTTACGCATTTAGGATTGTATGTTATGAAGAGAGAATGAAAAAATGTGGGAGCAGGAGCTTGTATAATATTTGTGTGTGTGTGTGTGTGTAAACATGTATATACCCACTTCTCACTTACAAACAAGGATAGGTTCCAAAGATCAAGAGGATGACCACGTCATTACATAACTGCCAAATTACATCATTACATAAATTTCAAACCACTGAGAATCATGGCCCACTCAAGTGGACACACAACCCTATCTATCAGAGCAGAAGTCACTCTTGTCTCACCCCTTAGCATTCATTACGGCCATGAATGGGCACAATGATCAGATACATATTTTTGTTTACTATTGTCACAAATGCAAAAGATAGCGGTTCCGTGAGGAATACGGATCAATTACAACAGAAGACCCACAAACATTCATTCTTGTCAAGTCAACTTCAACTCATAGAGACCCCAGGGTGCTCCACAGCAGAACTGCTCCCTGGGGTGTGATGACCTGCAGTCTCTAAGGGGACAGATCAGTAGCCTTTTTCACACAGGCAGCACTGCTGGGTGGATTCCCACAGCCAGCCTTTCAGTCACTGGTCAAGTGCAAACTGTGCTGCCTAAGGACCTTTTATATGTATGTATGTATGTATATGATATTGACACATACTAGAATATTAGGTTAGTGCCCTCCCCCTGCCCCCAGCTTTAAGATCATTTTGAGAGGAAATCATGTTAAACGTACAAGTAATATCTTCTTCTTTTAAGAGGTTATTTAAAATGGAATTGTGGCATTCAGCAACAGGCAATCTACAACAGTAAACTGTGTCAGTTTGAAAGAGGCAGAGGATTTTCGGCGGGAATGAAAGGACAAGGCTGCAGTCCCCGGAGACCAAATGCTGACACATTGTATCAATAAATCAGTAGAGAAGAATCGTGATAGAATTTCCCCTTGGATTTGGACTGTTTTTATTTGGGTATTTCTTGGCTTTTGTTTGCTCACATGGTCATAATCTGTGATGCCTTAAATTCTTTGGCCTTCCTACAATGGTTATTTTATTCCACAAGAAAAGAAACCATGTTGGGGAGAGAAAATCAGAAAATAATCCCTTTCTGTGCTCGAATCTAACGACAGGAGAGAATTAGAGAAGAAATTATATTAGCGGAGGCTATTTCGTGTCTTCGGTCTTTGACATGCCGCTAACAGCTCTCCTTTGAAATAATGTGCACCCCCCATCCACCCCCGGGTAGCTTGCATCAAAGAGGATAATTTCTTTCTAAAAACAGACTTCTTATTTTATTTGCCGTCATGTTATCTCTCATAAGACATATTGGAAAAGCTCACGGAGCAGGACCACACTGGCCCCATGTCCCGGAATGTGATGCTATCGAAGTTAAGCTTCATCTTCTTGGCCGACATATATAATGTTTGGCTGCTTTTTCAAATAACAATGCAGTCCTGTTTCTAACAGGAGTTGTTATCTTACCAGAGAAGATGAAGGGCAGCGGGCAGGAAAAGGAGCCGGGAAAGAGAAGGCACCGTGGGGGCTGACGCTCACGCCTCTGTACTTACGGCAGCGAGAGGGAAACGTGCTGTTGATCTGCTCCATGACCTCTGTGAGGTCCGTGCTGGTTTCATGGGGGGGCGACAACACGTCTTCGGCCGCTGTAACAGCAGGGACAAAGAACAAGGCAGATCCCGAAATCAGAGTCCAGCCTCTGACAAACCCCCCACTTCAGGAGAAAAAGTGTCAGTGGTATGGAATTAAAATGGGCTAGGTGTTTGAGGAGGAAGACCCAAGCCACGCACCAGAAGAGGCTACACAAATAAAAAAGGAGGGATGCCACCCTATCATTTCCATGTCTTCATGGGAAATCTGTTCATGTCACAGCTCAAATTCTTTTTTCATAGAAGGAAAAACATTCTACCAATTCTTTTTTTTCTGAATCCTTCTTTCTCTTGGGAGCCTTCAGCAGAGGCTGCTAAGCATCCAGCCCTTGGTGGACGGGACAATTCAGCAGAGCGGCCTGAGACATTTCTGCAATGTGCCTTGTCTGTCTCTCCCCGTGATCACTTCCTCCTCTTTCTTTCCTCAGACTCATCCCAGGGGCAGCTGTCTCTGGTCTTCCGCTGCCCAGAGCGTCCTTCCCTGAGGCTCCTCTCCGGGGGAAGGGAGGAGAGCAGGGGGCCCAGAGGAGGGCCCGCCTAGCAAGGAGGGGCTCCTTCTGGTTCTTATATTTTGGGGGGTGCCAGTGCCATCACCACCCGGGATGTCTCGTTAAGTTGGGAGTTTAGCTCCCTGTCCCCCGGTCCATAGCGATCCCAGCATGCTTTGTCCCTGTGCCACCTAAGCAGCTGCATCCACTTGTACCTCTCCTTCCTGGAAGGCATCCTCTCAAACTGTGTTCAAGGTCAAAGCTGCATAAACGAACCTTTTGCAATGGGATGTGCGTGGAGGTCAACCACGGGAAGAATCAAGCTCCCTGCTGTCAAGTCGGCTCCGACTCCCAGCGACTGTGGGTTTCGGAGGCTCAGTCTGTAGGGAGCAGACAGCCTCAGCTTTCTCCCACCACGGAGCTGGTGATTTCAGCTGCTGACCTTGCCGCTAAGAGCCCACTATGTGTAACCTACTCTGCCACCAGGGCTCCTCAGGTGTTCGTTCCTAAAAGGAAGAGTCAACAATTTTCTTGTTTTAAAACAAAAAAATCTTGAAAGAACATTTTCATTCTTCTCTGGATGAACGAACACATGGAAAAATATCTCCCCAACAAGTTAAGTTGGTTAACGTATGTGGTCCACAGAACGGAATTTCATAAAGAACAAAATGTCATTCCTGAATACTTGGAGACTTCTAAATGGCACGGCAGGTCCCTCCAGTGCCTCAGGACAGGCTGGGTGTGCACTCGGCCTCAGGGGGGCTGCTGAGGGCAGCAATGTTTCCACGGAGGTAGATGAGAAAACGGACTGATGCATAAGTACGTGGGGCAAAAGTCTTTTGTATTACATTCTGAATCTGTACAAACACAGCATTTTAGAAACAGAAAATAAACTACTAAGGAGAGATTCGGTCTTAAGGTAAATTAAATCGAGTGATTCATGCCAAAAGGAGGAGGACCATCTTTTCTTCATCTTTCACTAAAATTCAAGCCGGTACTGCACGATACACGTGCTCTAGCTAACTTAGTCTAACCTCCGTTGGCTGTTCCGCGTGGCTCAGATGGATCTGTAGGTAGGAGACCATAGAGAACGTATGAAAACTCCCTGGGCTGATTTCCGCGGAAAAGCAAGCAAATAGCAGAAGGCACCTCAGATGAGGGCAGCTCTGCGTGGGGACACTGACCTGACTGTTGGAACTGTGGGCCGGGATCTGGATCCAGCGAGTAGCTCAGAGCCGAATGCTGCGGTGAGGCCCAGGGGGAGACACCATTGACTCGGGGATCAGATTCCGGCTGCAGGCACAATCAGGAAGAAAAGCGGAGCAACGGTTTAAATGCCTATTAGAGAATCGCTGACTTTTTATCTCCACCTGCCCCACCACGGCTGATTAAATCACGCAGAGCCGTTGGCGCTGACATTTTCAAATCCAGTTTGCCATCCATTGGATGGCTGCTCTAGGACTAGACAGCCCTCCCCTGGAAGAATGCATAGGGCACGCTGCCGGTTGTATTTATCAATGTCAGTTGTGTCCCTCAACGTCTTCCTCCATTGTTTCCATATCAACCAAGTGAATTTCAAAACATGTTCCATCAATCTTGAGAAGATCAGCCCTGCTTCTCAGACAGCACTCCTTGCCACTGAGTCAGTCCCCAGCCACTGCAAGCCCAGGTGCTGCAAGTAGAAATGCCCACGGTATTCGGGGGGTGAGGGGTGGGGTGATTGGGTGGGGGCTGTGATCTTTGCAGAAACAGATTACCAGGTTTGGGGCTGGGGGGGGTTATCCCCTCTCCAGTTCAAGACTGTAGAAACCAGAATACAAGACTCAGGGAGAGGTTTTTTCTGTTTCAACCTCTGTCATTATTTGCCATTGAGCTGACGTTGACTCACAGCAAGTCCGTGCAACCGAGGAGAGCGACCCATAGGGTTTTCTAGTCGGTCACCTTTACAGGAGCAGACCTTCAGCCCTTTCTCCTGCGGCACTGCGGTGTAGGTTTGAACTGCCAACCATTCGATTAGTCGACAAATACAAACCACGCAGACCACCAAGGGCTAACACAGTCCATAAATTCAATTTAAAAATCACAACCAGTGTTTCCAGACACACAGCCCTGGAGAAGGACCCCCTGCTTGGTAAAGCAGAGGGGCAGCGAAAAGGAGGAAGGCTTTTGATGAGATGGATGGACACCGTGGCTGCAACAATGGGCTCAAGCCAAGGAACAATTGTGAGAATGGCGCAGGACCTGGTAGCGTTTCGTTCTGTGGTGCGCAGGGTCCCTATGGGTTGGAACCCACCTGAGAGCAACTAACTGCAATGACATTATTCAAGGCAATGTTAGGTCAAGAGCAGGATGGCTTGAATTCAAATGCCTACGGTGCCACTCGGAAGCAAGCAAGCCACTGCTCACAGAGACATGCTCCAATGCTTTCTGTTTGGCGTCAGCCTGTGTTTGACTGAACTAGAACCCAGTAGCAATACATTGTGACCTCCCCTGTGTGGTCAAACTAGAAAGCGCAACCCATTGTGAGGGAATACAGGAATTACAGCGTTCCTGCTGCAGGTTTCCCCATTTAATCCATATCAATTGAAGTCTGAGGGTTTTTTTTTCTTTTAAAGCATAGTTGGCTTTCCCATCTACCATATATACTCATGTAGAAGCCAAGTTTTTCAGCAAATTTTTAATGCAGTTTTTATGGTAAGAGTAGGTGCCTTGGCCGATATTCGGGTTGGCTTATTCTCGAGTATATACGGTATGTCTGGATTTCATGCTACACCGCTCAGAGGAGAGATGCACTGCACAGTCGGGCATCATTCAGATAGCAGTGATATTTACAAACGTTACTGTGCAGTTCTGGAGGCGCGTGAGCCACGAGGCAGCGCTGCCTAATGGGATGGCGAGGGCACACGGACCTTTCGCTTTCCCCAAGGGCATCGATGGGTGATGCCAAATGTAGGTTCTGGGTGGCGCTGCTTTCCTCACTGATTCTATCTTTGTACTTGGCTGTTAACACTAACACCTCATATTTGCTAAATAAGAGATTTCAAGAGAAGATGACCCCCCCCCCCCAAGCAAGCATTCTTCGGGACCTTCAAAGGCACAATTCTAACCATGTCATTTTCTCCAAGCATGTGGCTGACACTGACAGAAGAAACAAACATTTGGGGGACTTATAAGAATCCAGGCCATGGGCCACTCTTGGAAAACAATGATCCTGTTGTGGTCGAATGAGGTAGCCCTGACTGAGGAGCCCTGAAGTAGCCCTTCCCCACAACAGGGGCCATGCTGAAATGATGACAGCCAGACAGAAAAGGATATGGTCAGTCTAGCGGCCACTGCATCGGGACTTCAGAGGGGACGGTGTTTTGAATGCTTCTGACCAGGTAAAGGACACCGGCTGCAATGGTGTGAGGATGGTTTCTAAAAGATGAGCCAAACCCTAAAGGGGAAAGTTGTTTCTGGCTTTGATTTAATCAACACTTCTGGAGAAAGGTATTTTTCTACTGTCAAGGGGCTCCACAGGGCAGCAGCCAGAGGAGACATGGATGCTGACATCAGGGGCTCTTCCACGGAGAGAATGCTTGCAGCTATTATACCTGCAACGTGAGGTTGATACTTCATAAGCCTGCAACTAGTTCTGGGTCAGGCTCCCATTCTCTAACTGCTCCGTGCCATCCAATGTAGCATTCCCTATGGTGCCTTGTGCCATCATATGGGATACGATCTGATTCAGGGATATCTGTCTTTGGTCCCTAGGAATATTGCAGGTACCAGAGAGACAGGGACTATTCCTGATGCCTTTCTGTTTTGTAATTCCAGAGAACAAGTTTTGTAAACTATAGGCTATTAGTCATCCGTGAGTGATAAAAACAATGTGCTGGGTCCTGATCAGTTACCCAGAAAGCAGGGGAGGAGAACGAAAATGGGAAGCAAGAACAGAAAACAAATGGCAAAGGGTGGGGCGAGAGCCTTTGGGGGTGGGGGTGGCGGTTAATACTGTAAACTGTTGACTACGAACATAACCCCCCACCTAATTTACAATAAAAAAACGATAGAAACTAAGGCCTTCTCTGCGGCAGTCACATAATCCTGTCAACTGGAGCAAAGGGGTGGAGTCTAGCTTGTCCATCAGGTCGCAGCTTGATGACCTCATCTGGAGGCGCTACAGAGATCAATAGCTCACTGGAGGCCAGACCCACTCTCTCTGCCTTCCCTTTCCTGCTGTTGAGACACACAGAGAGCTGGCACTGGATCCACAAGACTTTCTATCCACTGGCCTGTGATCTTTCTGCATTCAGCATCATTGCATGTGCTGTGCGAGTGTAAAGAGGAATTTATGGACTAGTAGCAGACATATAGGCTAATAATATCAAACTTATGGACTTGATCTGGACTAGGCTGGGATGTTTTCTCAATATACAGCTGCTCTTTTATATAAAGCTCTTTCTTATACACGAGTGTTTATGAATTTGTTTCTCTAGTCAATCTGGACTAACACATTCCTCACCAGTGCAAATATTGTTTTGTATCTATCACACATGCATGGATTCAACATATTGTAAGCTGTATTAGTTATCATCATGACAGCTTGAAAATACATGCTCCAAAGCATAGCCCAGCAGTAGGAATTCATGGCAGCAAATGGATAAACATCTGTCATGTAATTTCTTGAAAACAGAACACAGGATTGCAGGATTCGGTGTGTGTCGTTCACAGGAAGAAAGGATTTAGAGCGAAGCCTTGGGTCATTTTCTTCCCTTTAAATTCCCACAGATGTTTCCTACATGTAATTCATTCCGGAGTACTGTACCGGATCTATTTCCTCAATCAATTCAGAGCTGAGATAGAGCTGAGTGTTAAAGAGGAAGGGGCGCTTTGAAGATGCAGCTTCATGTGTCCAGATCATTAATGTCCCAGGCCTACTGCTACCGAGGCGATTCCAACTCACAGCCTTCCTTCCCAGGGTTCCAAGGTTGTGCGACTTGGCAGGAGCAGACAGCCTTGTCTTCCTCCCTCAGAGCAGCTGTTGGGCTTGAACCACCAACCCTTACCCCGGCAGTGCCGCCAAGGTCCCTCATCAGTACTGAGCTAGGCACACAGGTTTTCGTGCGGGCCAGGATTTAAGGCACACACATTTAAGGGCTGTGGAATGTAGGGTGGACCTCTCTCGTCCCCCTGACAAATCTGGGAGAGGGGACAGGGAACGTGGGGACAGGCAGAGGAAATGTGGGGCGTGGGCTGGCTGCGGCAGCACCCACCTGCTCCAGCAGTTGCCGAAGCCGGTGGAGCTGCGACTCCAGCTGCTTGTTGTGGTCCTCCAGGATCTGCATCCTGGCCTCCAACCGCCCTTTGTGCTGCCGGAGCAGCTTGGCTTCCGCAATGAGTTCTGAATCCTCAGAGGTGTGATGGGGAGAGACAATGGAGTCTGGCGGGGAACCCACAGGGAGCCCCCTTTGAAGGTGCTGCTCCTTCAGTTGCTCATATTCCACCTGTAGATTCCTATTGTGTGAAAGAAAAAGAAAACAACTAATTAACACTGTATCTGTGACCCTCTCTCCCAATAGCTCTGTGGTTGTTAGTTGTTGTCAAGGCAATGTTGACTCATGAGGCCCCCAGGGGTGCAGGGTGAGGCTGTGTTCCACAGGTGGAAGCGAGCCTCCAGGCCGGTCTCCCACATCACTGGGGAGGAGAAAACCGCCAGCCTTTTGGCTCGCAGTGGAGACCTTAGTGGTTTGAGCCAGCCGGCAGTTCACCAAATACAGTAAGATGTGCACAGCTGGACCTTCTGTAAGGCAGAAACCAAAGCGCCAACATTTTCCACTGAAACAAGCAATGGAAAAGTGACAAGACTGCATCATCAAAGGTGGGAACCATGGACATTAAAAAACACGTGGAAACCTTGCAATATGCAGAAAAACAAGGCAGTCCTGTGGAGTCACAGCTCTCCCAGGTACCACTGTCTGCCTAAGGAATCGGAATTTAGCTCACACTACTAGTTTCCCCTAAGTCTGAGCAACTGTAAGATAGCAAGCAGGACCAAAATCATAGCTTTAAGCAAGTGTTCTAATAGGCATCGTCAGGGAACCCCAAAGTCTACTGTAATCTGCAGCCTGTGTCCCAGGTCAGTGCTCCTAAGACTTGATGTCCCCACCACCCCTCAATCATCCCAAAGAAAGGGGCAGGGGGCGTGTTCAAGTCAGTAGTAAAGATGTCTTGCAGGGACTCGGAATTGACTTGGCAGTCGCGAGTTGCGCTATTTACCTCTGTTCCTCTTCCAGGTCAGCAATGATGCGCTCCAGTTCTCCCCGCTCTTCCCTCTCCACCGACTTGAGGATCTGCACAGGGCTCTGCGGCTGGCTCACCGGGGACTCCCCTCCGAGGGTCTGGCAGTACTGCTGGATGAGGGCATGCTCATCCTCCCTGCGGACACAGGAAACACACAGAGGCTCAGGTCTGGACCCAAGGCTGTCTCGGGACAGCGGGAGGGGGAAACGGTGATGATCACATGACTTTTTGGCCAGGTCAGCCTTAGGGTTTAGCATCTCCACAACCTGTCCCAAAACTCTGAAAGAGATTCACCGATTGTTGTGAGCTGCCTTCCAGTGAGTCCTGACTCACGGTGACCTCATTCCCATGGAGCAAAATGCTGCCCAGTTGTGTTCTAACCCCATGACCAGTTTCAGACTGGACCACTGGGTTTTCACTGGCTGATATTTAGAGATATAGCACCAGACTTTTCTCCCTGGTCCACCGTAGTCTGAAAGTTGTACTGAAGTCTGTTGGCAGGGCTGGCAACATACAAGCCTTCCCTGGCAGATGGGTGGTGGCAGCCCAGGAGGTGGATTGACTGGGAATCAAACCCACATCCTCCACGTGGAAGGCAAAAATTCTACGACTGAACCACCAGGGAGGAAAAGGAAAATGGCGACAACAAACTCACCACCATCGATTTGATTCTGACTCATAGCAACTCTACAGGACAGGGTACAACTGCCCTTCTGGGTTTCTGACACTAACTCTTTACAGCAATAGAAAGCCTCATCTTTCTCCTGTGGTAAGGCAGGTGGTTTCAAACTGCTGACCTTGCAGTTAGCAGCCAACCTGGAAACACTATTCCACCACTAGGGCTCCCTACTGCTGTTAGAGTCATCTAATAGAGTATGTGTATGGAACAGAATAAAAAGTTAATATAATGACTATCAGAGGTCAAATCAATAATTTAATGTCAGAAAAGTAGATCCTGAGTTCACGTTCTTGAACATGTGGCTGAAAGCATCTTTGTAATAATGCCTTGACACCCAGAGGCCAGCTCTTTCCTCCATAGACTCCTGCATGTGAATAATTCAGCCCCAATTAAAGTCAGAGACATACAGTCAGATATTTTACATGATATGATCAACATGCTGTTTCTAGAATCAATCCAGGGCCATTAGCAAAAGAAAAGACTGCATTTAAATTCACTTGGCTGCGTCTCTAACGAAGTGACTTATCAATCGTGTGGTGGAACCTAAGGCTTGACATCAACAGAAACAAGCCCACGGAAGCACTGTTGGTACCTATACGGGAAGGAAATGCTTATCAACAGGCCTGGAGTCCTATCTTTTCCTTCACCGGGAAGAACCTGCAGGATGGGGGTCTATCATTCACATGGTCCTTTCATGAAATCACTATCATCAGAGGTTTATGGTGTGGCAACATGCAAATGACAAGTTCTTGGCTATGGAGAGAGCCATGCTATGGAATGCTTCCAGCAGATCGTCCCTGGCCGGTGTGGATGGATAGGTGGGTTTGCAGCCGATGGATGTGCATAGAGGATGGGGCTCCAAGGAAGCACTGCGAAGGCTGGCAGCAGGCGGCATCACCTGGAAACCCTCCATGAAGCATCAGCCCCTTTCTGCCTAAGCCCCTGGCTGCATGTAACCCTCAGAGGTCTTGCCGGTGACACTGGGTGTGGAACACCATCTAACGCAGCAAGAAAGGAGGTGACAAAGGCATGGCTGTCCCGGGCCTCTCCCCCTCCGCTCCTGCCTCGCCATGACTGTACTCCTGAACCTGCTAGCTCTGCTTGCCACTGGTGAGGCCTCTGATCCGCGGCACAGCTTTGAGCGCTTGGCCTTTGTGTTCCCCTGGTTCCCCTGGGTGAAGAAGGGGCTGGAATTTGCGTCTGCATTAGTGATTTCTTAGAAACTGTATATCCTGAGCTTTGAGATCAGACAGATACTATGAGGCAAATGAGGAGAAAAATGAGTGTTATGCTTGTCAAACAGCCAAAGACAGGGTCCAAGTGGGCTACTAGATTAATTTTGCTTCTTCCAATCAAAGTTTTTAATAAGCCTTGTAAACTTATTGGATGAGGTCCCTGGCTGGTACAAATGGTTTGCACTTAGGTACTCACCAAAAGAGTTAAGATTCTAGCCTATCCTCTAGTGATATAGAAGAAAGGCCTGGCGTTATGCTTCCATAAAATGTACAGCCCGGAAAACCCTAGGGAGCAGGTACAGCCTGGAGTAGTTTCAGCCTAGAATGCAAGTGGCTGCTCTAAGTCAAAATCGCCTTGACACAATGAGCTTGGTTTGGGCTTTTGGTAGAGACCTGGATGGGATCACCACCTAGACACCCAACTACCCTTTCCTGCTCCCATCCAATGACCTTAACATTCATGGAGGGACCCTTAGAGCCCCATTAGAAATGAGAATTGGGAACACGGATGGGGTAAAGCCTGCAGTAAGCAAAGACATCCTGTTGATACCTTTTCTAAAAATGCAGCATCGCTGGGAAGGAAGTGAAGAGTCTCGAGGACCGGTGCCCACTCCTGGGACTAGAAGCATGACAATGAGAAGAGGGACTGGGGGCCACACCCTGCAGAGCAGCTGCCTTTAGGAGCAGATCTAAAAGCTCCTGGCTTCCCGTGTAGCGGGATCAAGCCGGGCCTCTGGCAGGGATGTAGGAGAAGAGAGTTGTTTGCTTGAAAGGGCTCACTGGCCAAGACCCTAAACTTCAATCTTTCATGAGGGGAAGAAGAAAATGATGACGCTAATGGGGCAATCCTGCCGGGACCCCTCTTAGCTACTCTGGGTCTCCAGGTTCTAAGCCAGTGATGCCTGGAGACGCTGCACCCACAGAGAGAGAGAGAGAGAGAGAGAGAGAGAGACAGTAAGGAGAGAATACAAGGTGCCGATGTCGATGTGAACAGGACAAATGGACACAATACAATGACACAGTGGACACAAAATGAAGAAAGCAGACAGTGGAACATTATGAAAATATTTCTCATGCTGAAGAAGATCTGAGTCCAGAACCTGACAAGATTTGAGTGTCTCTCCCTTAGCCCTCCCCGTTTCCCTCTTTGCTCCACCAATCATAACAACAACAAAACATTAGATGGTTTTCCAGTGAATTTTTTTTTTTTACATTTTAAGGCTAGAAAAAGCATCACAAGCAGCCAGCCAGAAATCAGAACAAAACATTAATGTATCCACAAAGGGAGACAGAGCCTCCTACCACGCTATCATAGTACATGTCAAAAGACAATGGAGCCATGTTGAGCATCCTAACTAAGTCCCCCTGTCACTCATTTGTCCAGGCAGAGAACGCACCTCATCCATGCAGCAAAGGACACAAAAGGCAGCCAGATAATGTAACGCCGGCAGAATGAAAGGAGATGGCAATCTCAGCGGCTACAGTAAGTATGGAGTCAATGGATTCTCCTCTTGGTTAAAAATCATTAATTATATACTCGCTTTGAATAACGTGGATCCCTGAGTGGCCCGAACAGCTCATGCGCTCAGCTGCGAATGTAAAGGTGGGTAGTCTAGGTCCACCCAGAGAGGCCAAGCAACCACCAAAAGCCCTAGGGAGCACCCTTCTACTCTGACCCCCAGGATCACCATGAAACAGCCAGCTCAGGGACAAGAGGTGTTTAGTTGCCTGGCTGGTATCGGGCCTCCTATATCAACCAAGCCCTTACAACATCTATGACCTGGGGATGATATACTGAGTTCTCAATATTAACACCCACTGATATTGAAAGGACCGTGGACTGTCAAAAGAACAAATAAATCTGTCTTGGGAGAAGTACAGTCAGAAGGATCCTTGGAAGCAAGGATGGCAAGACTTCATCTCATGGACTTTGGACATATGGTCAGTAGAGACTAGACCCTGGAGAAAGATATCACACTCAGTAGAGGGGAAGCCCAAAAGCGGACGGCCTTTGACAAATGGATTGACAAGATGGATCGATCCCAATGGACCCAAACATAAGAACACACTGTGAGGGCGGTGCGGGGACAGGCGGTGTTTTGCTCTGTTAGACAAAGGGTCGTTAAGAGTCGGAATTGGCTCAAAGGCACCTAACAACAACAGCAACAACAAACTTCTGTTTCACAGATCTGGGGGCTGAGTATTTACAGTGTAACAAAGATACCTATCAACCAGTTAGGAAGAGAATAAAGATGCATTTTATCGTCAACTTTTATACAAACTGATTTTGGAAGGTAGTAGTTGATGAGGTTTTAAAGATTGTAATTATCACCATTGCCATTATCCTTACCTTCTTCCAATAAGGTATCTGGAAGGAACTTAAGTCCATTTAAACAAAAGTAATAACTTTAGAAATCATTTATGGGTAACACACAATCGTAAGCACAAAGTGTTTTTCACACATTATTAGGTCTATGTGTTAAATATAAAAACATATACATTCAAGTTCTTAATTATAGATAGCCACAATCAAGAGCACACTTTTAAAATACAGAGAGCACATTAGGTTCCAGATTGGGATCATTAAATGCCAATGGTGTGTCTAAAACTAAAACAGAAACTTGCCGCAAAAAATATAGAAGCCTACTTATCTTTTTTATTTTACATCTATGAAGCATGCATCCACTATTATCTGTATTACAAAATTAGTGTGTATTCAGGTGACAAAAGAACTGTGATTCACTTAATGATCTTTGGAAGTAGGTAAGAAGACATAAATAAAATAATAATAATTTCCTCCCCTTTTTTTGTCCTATCCTCGGCTTTAAGGATGGACAGTAATCCCAGTGGAAACCACATCAGCCTTCCAATCTGATCCTTCCGTGTAGAACTGTACCACACAAGGGCACAGAGTGGATGGACTGGTGTGCCACCCTGGCAACACCCTCCCTAAGGGACCTGTGATACTTAAGGTCTGTACCAGCTTGGCAGGGAAGACACAGACATCTCTCATGCTGTGAACTAGTACAATGTAATCACCGCCATATTGGCATCTGCCATGAGCAGCAGATCCATTGCAAGAGGATGTGCATGCGACTGGCGATGGAGCGATGGTGTCGAGCAAGACTAGATGGATCTACAGGGCTAGATGCACATTCTCATCAGACAAAGTTCCCCCTTCCTATGGCAGCAGAGGTGTTCCATGGGGAGTTAGGAACCAG